TCTCATACCCGTTGCACACCAGTCTCCCTGCAACGCAGGGCATGAAACAAAGAACTTCGCTTTTTTGCTCATGTGCTTTCGGCTCAGACTCGCAGAAGCGAAGATGGAACCCCGGCTCGCAATCCTTCTTGTTGAAAAACTCTTTGTCTCCAATCGCCTCTGGGAGATATCCTTGGTTGCAGCCTCGTGTGTATCCTGCTGATGGGTTGTACACATAGCCGTCACCGTAGCCCAGTGTCCTGAGCACAAACGTACCAGGAAACACGTAACAACGCACTATTCTGAAGCCTCTAAGAATGCCTACCCTACCTCAGATGACAAACCGTCGGGCTGAATCCAAAACCTGTCAGCTTCATCATCTTCGTTGGTGCATTGCGGATGTGCAGCGGAACTGGCGCATGAGGCTCCCTCTCACACAATTTTTTGACGGTTTCATAGGCATTGTAGACCGCACAGCTTTTCGGCGCAAGTGCCAGGTATATCACACACTGTGCAATCACAACTCCAGCTTCAGGCATTCCAATGGCATGAACTGCCTGATCGGCTGCGACCGCTTGATTCAGAGCCAAGGGATCTGCCAAACCCACGTCTTCAGATGCAAAGCGAATGAGCCGGCGTGTAATGTAGCGTGGTTCCTCGCCTGCGGTCAGCATTCGTGTGGCATAATACAGCGAAGCATCTGGACACCCACCTCTCATGCTCTTGTGCAGAGCACTTATCAGATCGTAATGAAAATCGCCGTTGCGATCATAAAGCGCACGCTTCTGGATGGCTGCTTGAACAGCCTTGGAATCGATGGGTGAGCCTGGCTTTGTCAGGTGAGCCGCAAGCTCCAGCGAGTTCAGCGCTACGCGGGCATCACCGTCCGCTGCAGTGGCCAGAAGTTGGCGGGCATCACAGGCGAGCGTGGTGCCCCCTAGCACAACATCTTCACGCATTGCCCGATCAATGACATGTCCCACAGCCTCCGGTGACAGCTTCCCGAAAACCACTAAGCGACAACGAGACAGAATTGCATTGTTGATCGAGAAGGACGGATTTTCAGTGGTGGCAGCAATCAGCGTAATGGTTCCTTTCTCGCAATCCAAGAGCAGAGCATCCTGCTGTGCTTTCGACCAGCGATGGAACTCGTCCACAAAGAGTATGGTTCCCAGCTTGCGCAACTTCAAGGTGCCAGCAGCTCTGTTCAGTTCCTCACGCAGCTCTGCAACACCAGCCTTCCAGTCTTCAGGAACTTAATGGTGGCAAGACTTACGGGATCTTACGAAGCTTTCGATATGCAGAGTTTGGTTACCGGCACTGGCCTTTGCAGCAGACAAAGACCGAAATGCTCGTTTGGTTCCTGCTGCCACGCAGTGCGCAAAGGAGGTTTTGCCACAGCCAGGCGGGCCCCAGAGGATCAAGGAAGGCAAGTGATCTTCCTGCACAGCCTGGCGCAAGACAGATCCCAAAGCATCCTCTTGGCCCAGGAGCTCCTGGATTCCCTTCGGGCGCATGCGCTCTGCCAGAGGGGTCCCAGAGCTCGCAGATGAAGCCGTGGCCGGCTTTTCCTGCAACGAGCCGATGTTGCCCGCATGCTTCAACTCGGAGTTCGCATCCTTCACGTCAATGGCTATCGAGTCGTCAGACTTTGCGTACTTCTTTCTGGTCTCGAAGAAGCCGGGCACCGACGGTGCTGGTCTCTTCTGAGACAGGTTGGTTCCTGCCGCTGCTGTGGCCTGATCGTAGTGCAGGTTCAGTGCGACACCAACGTCGCTACCAGCTCTGTGTAGGAGCTTCTTCAGCTCCGCATCGTCCAATGTGTGGCCCAAGACGTCCCGCAAGGCAGCCAGTGCGCTGTCGGCATTCTCGTCAGCCATGTCTCGCACATGAACATCATCAACTGCCGAGCCAAGACACAGTATGAACAGAAGTGCACACAAGGCTAAGGTTGTCCGCACACTTGCCCTCGTGGGCTTCAGACATCCAAGACCAGCTTCGCCTGGCAACGGGACCCACAGCAACTCAGAAGCTCCGACATTTCTCTTGTATACACTCACGACGTAGTGCTGTCCTGACGGAATACTGGCGGGAGGACATGAAAACCAGAGACCAAGACGGAGAAGGCTGGAGAAGGCAGCACCTAACAAGCGCTGTTCGAAGAGCACAGACAAGGGCAGCTCATGGGTCGGGTCTGCCTCTGGATAGCTGCGAAGGCAAGCTGACCTCCAGTAGCGACACTTGGTCGAGCACGTGCCCGCGGGCTGAGATTAGGCAGCAGCAATCTTCTCATCCAAGGGTGAACCCTCGGGGAGAGCAAGGCAATCATCACCTTCAGACACCAGTTGAAAAAGGAGCAATGACGAAAGAAAGGATTGACCGGAACAGCAGGCTCGGCCTGACAGGTCACCTGAAAAGCCGTCTCCAAAGTTTCAAAGGGGCGCTTCAAGCGACAGGACCTCAAAGGTCGCTGCAAACCGAAAGCCAAGAAAGAGTCTCATAACCACGGTCTCTGCGGTCCAGGCTTCTGGGAATCTCGGGTGGCCTGAAAGCCAAAGCGAGCAGTGTTAGTTGCCCTCTCTCCTCCGCATCTGCTTGTGCGGATCTCCTCGAAGTCATGGGCTCGTCGGTATCTTTGGATGAGCCTGCCATGGCAAGGCAGCCCAGAGCAGCAAAGCAGTAGATGTCGCTATCCTGAAATCGCACCTCTGAGCTTCTGTTGCCCATTCCTCCTCCGTCTCTTCAGCTGTCCGGAAACCAGAGTCTTCAGAGGTGAGGGTTTCCTGGCAAAGTCGTTCCAACCACAAGAACCAACGCCGGGATGCGTTTTCGTGCCTCCGAGGCCATGCCGGTCGGGGAACGAAGGCTTGGCTTGGAAACTGTGCAGTCTGCTGACCCCTGGGTTCCTTTTTGTAGGCTTCAATAACTCTGGAAGCGCTGTTGTGTCGTGCGGAGTGCTGTTGGTTGCCTAGCTCATGTGCAGAAAAGTGACCGCCTCTGGATCGGAACGGTGGAACTGGCAAGAACCAGGACATGAATCGCCGAAGGCACAGCAAGTACTCTCGCTCAGCTGCTCTGCTTGCCCTGCCTGCTATGGGGAAACATGACTGACAAATCAAGACACGACCCCTTCAACGAGTGCATGCATGCTGCAGGCGCATGGTTGCCTTGAATTCCTGTGTTGTGAGAACCCTTCAGGGGTCTGAGCCTCAGATTGTGGATCCTGCCGCTTACAAGTCCCAGACCTGCGGCTTAGGCCGACGCTCAAGGCGACTCTACCAGCCGCCACACATTCGCCGGCATGGTCTCCGGTGTGAAACACTCTCCGTGAATGCACTTTCTCACCTGTGCTCGTTGACCTCCGCTTCTGTCGCATCAACGAGACCTTTCCGCATGAAATGATCGGTCCGAAACATGAAAGCTTTGTTTGGTTTAAGTGAGGTGAGCCCATCACCACGCCGAACATGTCGACATTCAAGAGAAAGCCGAAAACGGAAGCCAAAAACTAGCCGTACGCCGTACTGCTCAAATGCGGCCGTCAACACGAAGTTTTTGAACCTGCCGGCGAAGTCGCTGTCGCGCAAGTGTCGGCTTGACAAAGATTGCCAAGAGCTAGGGAACCAAGGTGTCGCAAGCTTATGCAACAAGTAGTGTCAAACCAAGAATGATTTGAAGTGTGAAGCGCCAAGATGGCAGGAGCTCTTTTCAAGCCTCTGCGGATTCAGTCGTGTCTTCAGGCTTCTGCCCCGAACTGCAGCGATCGAGGCTCTGGACGCGTGGCCTTTTCCGAACGGGCACCTTGCTGACAAACACGAGTTGCACAGTTGCAGGCCATGGAAAGTGCAGCCTTTGCCGTTGCCTCCATTGGAGTTTCGACGGCTTGCTCTCTGGCAGCAAAAGAGTTCTGGATCGCAAGACCTCGCACTGGAAGGGACCCAAGCATGCGGGTCGTGGACTTCGCATGGAGAACTTCGAACGTGCCTTCGCCAACATCGACCGTCGCCTCCTGCAAGTACAGTCTAGCAGTTCATCCTGCTACCCAAACAAGGAATTGAGTAAGTAGGCCAGCCGCTGGCGTCAAGCCAGAAAGCTGTTCTTGCAGCCGCAACAAGTGTAAGGATGACAATCCCTGCAACAAGAAGGTGTGCAGGCTGATGGTTCCAGCTGGCTGGCATCCAACAAGGGGCCTTCTCTTCCTGCGTCTTGCTGTACTTTTCCGCTTTGCGACACCTCGCTGTAGAGTGCTGCCTGGAAGCCGCTCTTTGCGCCAGGCCCCTCGCTCTTCGATGGCGCTTTCTTTGAGCCCCTGTACCGGCTCAAAGACATGATGGACCCTGTCCGATTCACGAAAGCGTCCTGCAGGTTCAGGAGGTCGGCCAAGCGGAGATGACATTGAACAAGCGAAGAGCTGGCTGCGTCGTCCGCCTTGCTTGTTGCACATGCTTGCCACTGCCAGAGGCTATGACCAGCGGTCTGGAGCCTTCATCTCCAAGCAACGCCTCGTCCCAAAAGACACCAAAACTTTGAGGGTGTGGTCGCTGTAACTCTTCCTAGACGGCGTGCCTGGCAGTCTCCAGGGACTCCCACGCCTGGGCTGCACGAAACGCAAGAGAACAAGAGCGACCTTGACTTGAGGACTTCTTTGTGCCTCGGATGCAACTAGGGAAGTGAAAGCCTGAACCTGCTCTGTGCGCCTGGCAAGTTCAAGATCCTCCTCGAGCTCGGCGAACTGCGAGCCTGGTCCAGGCATGTCCAGGCAGACACCCTGAATGCTGCAAATAGCTGTAGTGTATCTCCGTGACTCTTCTAAGGCAGTCGCACTCCTGAGTGTCGTCGTTTTGTTGGGTTGTCTGGCTCTCCGGGATCACCGCGCCAGCCCGCTGAGGATCCTGCAGATGACGGCACGTGCGCGGACTACGCGACTGGAAGTTTCAACTGGCTCTGAGTCCTCGCTGACAACATCCATCTCCTCCCCGCCAACGTTGCCAGAAACACCTGTAAAAGAAGCTGTGAATGGCGAGAGCGCTCCTTTCCTGGTCTGTGAGCTTGGCCTGTTTCCACCAGGCTCAGCAGAGCATCACCATACTCAAGCCTGGAGGTTCGGAATGGTCAGCGGCAAAGCGAAATGTCTTCAGCCACTGAGACGCACACCACTGCATGCCTAAGTCAGGATGCACCTGGGCCAGGAAACTTTCTAACTCCAGCTGCATACTTTGAGTCTGGGTGATTATGTCTCAGCAGCTGAGCGACCGGCATCAGTGCCCAAGCGAGCCGTGTTCTCTCTCAGAGCCTCTGCCAGCCCCTGCATCGAGACTGGCACATGCATGTGCACCACAGCTCAGGAAAAGATTCGGCGCAGGCCTGCACCACCGTCTCTGCATCCCTGTGCCCCGCATCCTTGCAGGCACCAGGTTTTGCGGCGGGGTCACTGCACGAAGGACCGGGTGCAAAGCCTGGGATGCCCCATCCATCCCGGGGGCAGCTGCAATGCCCTCTATGCATCAGTCTTTCTTAGAGTACTTTGCCGTATCGCTCCGCCAACACGAAAAACTTTCTCGCAAGAGAGGATCGACAAGAACATGTTAGTAGGTTGACGCGCTGTAACAACAAGGTGGTGAACTGCAAATTTGCAGGTCTAGTCTAGATGCAGCCATCTTGGGTTTCAAAGCTGGGCCACGGAGACAGGTACACAAGCGTCTGTAGACATCTACACATCCTGGCCCACAGCTGCACTCATTCGCCGAAACACCAGGAAGATCGTTGTTTGTTAGAGCTCTCGGAGTGCTGCGAAGCTCTGTCAAGGTGAGACGTGGACCGTTCAACTGGATCATTTCTTGGCCTTTCCTTTCTTCTGCGCCTTGTTGAGAAGCCGCAGCTGCTTCCGCTTTTCTTCCAAGCCCTCGATGGGTTCATCATCCCGCTTGGAGAACTCGGGCTCCAAGGTCCGTGATATCTTGATGCCCATCTGCTTGGCAGTGCGCATCAGGCCAAGACAGATCGTTCTTACCGGCACTCCAATCAGCTGCGGATCCATGCTCTTGGCCTTGGCTATATGGAAGAGCTCCTTCAAGGTGATATTGCCAACTGGCGGGGCCCCCTGACCAAAGTCAGACCCTTTCGCCATCCTGGCGCAACGCAGGAGAAACCAAGGGGACTCGGGCGTTCGCAGAAAGAATTTGTATGTGCGATCAGATCGGGGGACCAAAGTGCATTGAAGTGGAACCTCTGGTCGCACTTTGGTCGTCCTCGCATTGAAGTCTTTGCAAAACGTCATCATATTGATTCCCAAAGGTCCCAAAGCTTGCCCCAATTTTGGAGCAGGCTTGGCCGTCGCGCCAGGAACGATTAAACGAAACCGTCCGACAACCGACATGGCGTCAAATTCGCAAGAAAGGTTCACCTGACCTGACCACTCTGCATTGTGGAGAGTCCAAAGCCTGTATCTGCTAAAGGGTCTGGAATTTCTAGACGAGAATGGAGTCTGCATGTACGAGAGTTGAAAAGACAAGGACAGCCCTCCAGCTTGAGCAGCTTTGCTGCAACACCAACGCACTGCCGTTGCATTCTGGCCACAAACTCTGTGTCGCACCCCTTTGACGTCAAAGGACGCCTTTCTCACAGCTCGATCGATGGCTTGGCCGTGTCCAGACACGCGACGGGCTTCCTTAGCAGGGTCCGGCTCGTGAATATGTCAAGAAGTACTTCAGAGTACCTTGAGTTCGTCAAGGCATAGCTGCAGAGACAAGAGGCTTGCCCCCGTCGCATCTCGCTACAATCGCATCAACTTCATCCTCGATAACGGAGGAGTAGCGATCGTCCCTCAAGTCCTCAGACACATTAGCCACTCGACAACAAGCACGTTCAGCTGTAGTTCGAAAGGATTTGTGCGGCATTGCCACACGAAGAATCTTTGTGCACATGTCTTACGGAGACTTCTGGGGTGCTACTGTGCTCATTTGAGAGCAAGTTTTGGCACATAAGCAAGCCTTCGGCGGGAGTCCTCGTATGTGAGGCCGATGTTGGTGTTTGCCACGATGTGCTCCTTCAAATGACGTAGGGTTACCTGATGCATAAAAGCAAGCATCTTCCGAACGACATGAACGGCAGAGCCGCCATGCTTGAATCATGAGGTTTGAGACAGGCTGCAGTGCCCTTCCCGTAGTCTTTGTATCGGGACTTGATGAACTGCCGCACCAACGGGACTGCAGTGTCTGCAAATGTTTGGTCAGGCGGACCACGCGGTGAATCCTAAAGGCCAAGAAAGCACTGAGGAAGCTTCCGGAATACTAAGGGGCTATGCATCGTCACCTACTCCGACATGTAAGCATGCAACGAGTGCGGCATCATGTCATTCACACTTGCCCTCCAAGTCTCTACCGATGCTGCGTGAGTGGTCCCCGATGAAGACAGGAGCATGCTCCCGCCAGCGATGCCCACCAGTAGAAGCAAGATGACCTCTGCCGCACATGGTGCACAGAACACGCACACAAACATATGTCACTTGCGCATGCTGCACGGGACTCACAATGAGCCAAGACACTGCGCAACTTCGTAGGCAAACGACAAGAAAACTTGACCTCCCACCTAGCAGGAACGTACCAGCCCGTTCGTGTAGGAAACCGTGTGCAGGAATGGTCTTGACAGGCCGAGCCTGGATTTGGTTTACCCTCCACATTCGTCTGACGATCGGATGAGGCTTTCAATTTGTGCCGAGCCATGATGACCCTAAAACTAGCATGTGATGCACAAAGGCTTGCAATCGAAGACTGGAAATGCTGGCATTAGCCGTGAAAGGCCCGGAAGCCTGAATGTCTCGCGCTCACTTGCTTGAGCCGGTAGTCTTCGTAGCGTGAGCAACAAGACAAGCCTCGAAATCTACGCTGTCGGCATACATCACGCCTCACTTTTTCGGCCATGTTCGCAACTGCGATGGTCAGTCTTTTGGGGCCTGGTTCAGTGCGGGACCCGCATGAAGATCTGCTTCTCCCTGCGTCAGCTGAACAACCTCCACACGTAACATCGGCAGAATGTCTTGTCTTATCGTGCAGGTACACAGGAGGTGGCCTCTGCATTTCGTCTGTCCACCTCCTCGCAACGCTTGTCTATTTCCTGTGGGGTGTAGCCTGAGAGTGGCTGACGAACTCTTCAATGGCAGGTGCAAGAACAACACAAGAGAACCTGCGGAAACGCCTGGAATAACTTTGTTGCGCTCCTTCACTCGGCCAATGCACTCCTTTCAGTCACGGAACCCATAGCTTCCAGTGGCAGCACCAACTCGAAAACAGCAACAATTCTTCACCTGTCCTCAAGATCCGCATCAAGGTAAACCTTGAAGTCGAAGAGATCTGGTATTTCTTGCCACCTCTGCTAGTTGGTCACTGGTGAGCGGGACATCAAGAAAATACCTATCATCATCAAGTACAGACAACAATCAAAACCTGCATACGGTCCAGGTTGGGACGATGCTTCGTCATGCTGTCCAACCGAACCCTAGAAAACCAAGCTAGCAAACAATGGATGCCGCAATGCAGCTTGGATTCCCATCTTTCCGGTGCAGCAGATACAACCCCTCCACAAGGACTATTTTATGGACACGGCGGTCAAAGCAAACTGCATCTTCCACTGGATCTCCACGTGCCTCAGCAGAAACTAACATTCCGTACAGAAGTGTTACCATGACAAAACCACACAACGTACAGTAACAACCTGGAGTCCAATCGATCCTCAGCCCAACTCAATTGCAGTCTTTCGCTGCGTGGTCGAATGCGGGGAACTTCACGCTTGATTCTCCAGTTTTGACCCTCTGCAGCGCTTCTCTCAGAGACGATACCTCAAATGTGTCCGGAGCTCCTCGCCTGTACACAGCATCTGCGGCGTCTGGTCTTGATTGTAGATCGGACAGCTTTGTATGATATCCATCCATCTGTACCACAAGACAATCCGGCTGCAACAGGCGCAATAAGATTTGTGAAATCCTGCTTTTTCCCGAACCTGGCATTCCCGCAAGCGCCACGAGAAGCGGCTTCCCGGAAGGCAAGGATGCTGCTCTGCTACGAAGGGTGTTTGCTAGAGCGACTTCCCAGGTCAATCGAGACAGACGTGTGCTGTCAGGAAGCTCCTGCACACTGAGCCTGGCAACAAATCTTGCAACCGCATCTACAAAACGCGCTTGTGCATCCTGCCCGCGTACCCCATGGCCGCCCTGCTCCAAGACCAAGCACTCTGCAGTTCGTGCTACACCCGCAGCCATCGCATCGGCCATGCGATGGCACAGCGTTGATACATCGACAGTCTTGGGCACATACTCGTCATCTGCAGAGGCTACCAACAAAGCAGGCGTGTGTACATGACCAAGCTTCTGTTTCATCTCATCTTCTGACAGATCGGAAGAGAACATGTCGTCATCTGCCAGCCGTCTTGTCAATGAGTCGAAACGGTAAGCAGTAATCACATCTGGAGGACCAAACAGTTGACACGCTGCGCGAGGCAAAGGCTCTTCTCCTCGTCCTTCAGCTATCATCCTGCTTGCTGTTTCTGCAAACTCACGGAGGGCTTCAACTTGGCTTCCAGAAGTTTCGACAGACAAAGCCTCACGATCACTCACGGGTGCTTGGAGAACGATTCCATGCACAAGCTCAGTGAGCTTGCCAACCTTGATGTAGTGGACTGCATCTTGACATCCGGTCGATGATCCAAGCAAGACGACTTCTGTAATCCCACGTTTCGATCGCAGGAAGGACAAAAACTTGTCGATTCCCATTACATCATCATCAAGACTCGCAAAACCCCAGCCCCTGTAGCTACTTTGCAGTACTGGTTGAAAAGTTCGCCAGCCAACCTGCTGCAGTTCAGCAGCCAATGCGGGCAGGTATCGTAGACTTAACAAGCCATCGGTCAAGCCTCCAATGCAGACCACTGCTTTGGAACCCTGTGGAAGGTTCTGCCCAGTGCGGGCCTCAAAGCCGGCATAACCCAACATCTCATCGTACAGAAACACTTCACCTTGACATGCAGTCTCCATCCCTGCAATAACACTCATTGCCGTTGAAACGCGACGCCGTGAACTGCGACGGTTTCTGCAGGATTCGTTGGCAGAATGAAACAATCCTACAGCAATGGCTCCAGTCACCCGGCCCTGGCCAACGGTAGGACACAAGAATGACGAACGCTTGACACTGCGCGAGCTTGCTGGAATCGAAGGGCGACAGGTCAGCGCAGGTTGGCGCACCAAATGCATGCAGATGACAAGCTCTTTCAAGTCGCAAAGATAAGACTGAAAACAGGAACTTATTTTGAAAGAGCCTTCGTGTACATTCTGCAACGAAGTTATTCAACAGTCTTTCTTTGGATGACAATCCGATGTGAAACCTTGCTTCAAGAGCCAGACAACGTCCGGGTGTGTTCGAAACCACTCACATCACAATCTCCGAAACGTTTCGGCGAAAACTTCAAATTTGTGGACTAAGCATGGCCCAAATACGGCTCAGGGTTCAGGGTATAGTAAGGAGGTAGGCTGGCAAGGCCAACCACATTCTTAGGATGTTAAGGGTTCAGGGTTCAAGCTTCAGAGTTGGGTTTTGGGTGTAAAACAGCGATTACCCATGGCCCAAATATGGTGTACTGCTTATGGCTCAAGAGTTGCGTTTCGCACATAGACGAACCGCGGCCGTATGGTTCAAGCGTTATGGTTTCTTCGAAGCAAGCACGGCCCACATGCGGCTGTGCGGTCCTTCTTGCAAATCTGCAACGGTCGGGCATTTGCAACCTGGCGACTGGAAACATAATATGTCATGTTTTGCCCATCAGGTCAAAGTAGTCAAATTTACATGAGAAGCATGGACCAAGAAGCCAAGAAATAATGAGAACAAAACAAGAGCAAGCGAATAACATGTGTCAGGCAACGTTCAAATCCCGCCCTGAAAACACTTTGTAAATAATCCATACCAATGGCAATATAAAACGATTTTAATTATAAATTCACAACAAAAAGGAGCAAAAGAATAACAAAAACAAGTAAAGGAAACAATTGAATTAAACTTCCACAAGCCTCGCTGACCACTTCTCGAATCTGAAGAAGAAATAGATGTCGCACTTTTTTGCCATGAAGAGAAAGACCAAACAAGTTGGCAGTGGAGGTCGACAGATCAAAAACGTGGTCTTAGCTTGGGCTCCAAAACTTTGCCAAGTGGTTGGATGTCGGTTGGAATCACAGCCCAGCGCTTCTTCTTCGCTTTCTCATCCTGAAAGCAAAGCAGGACACAAAAACGAGCTGGCTCCACGGTTTTGAACTGTGAACTCGATCTTTTTTTTTGCGTGGTTGGGCTCGGCTGCTGCGCCCGGTCCCCATAAGAAGCAAGAAAGCAAGAACAGAAAAGCAACCATCGACTGTCCAAAATTAAACAAAGTGGCTGCGACATGCAGACTTAGCCGGCAAAGTCGTTCAGCGTTCATTGTTGAGCATTGGAAGCAGCTACTACCACTCACAGGCCCCGCTTCCCGGAAGTCTGGGTCGCGCAATGGCCAAGAAATGCAAATCAAGGCCCCGCTTCCCTTGACTATAGGTCGCGCAATGGCTCATCGGCCATGCACAGACGCACCCGCCTATGTAGCATCGGCGAGAGAAGAGTGCACCCAGGCACGCATAACCCACTAGCCCAGCTTCCCACCTGTGTGGGCCTCGAAAGGGCAGAAACGTGCAGTCATGGTGGTTGGAAACACGGCCGTAGTAACAGACCACAGCAGCGTGATGACATGCAGTGAGGCAGCAAGAAGATACCCTGTGTAAGAGCCATAGTGGCCACCATGGTGGCGGTTGCTTGCAGGAAAGGCCGCCTTCTGGCCCCACGGGCCCCGCTTCTGCCAAGTTTAAGTACAGGTTCGCCTGGTGCCAAGCCCAATGGCGAGTGGCAGTGTCCCAAAGAACTCGCCGCCAATGCGTTGGATCCTCCATCTGCTCGTCGTTAAGAGAGTCAAGGAAGGTCCATTCGCCTCGCTCCTGACGTCCAACGAGCTGTGGCTTAGTAAACGAGTACCTTATTGATGGCTTGTAGCAATCAGGGACAGCCGGTAGCCCAAAAAGTGGTACCGTAGGCCATCGGCCAATCCTCCTTGCGCCCGAAATTGCCGGGCGGCCGCGATCCAGTCTTCAAGACGGAGGCCTTCACCAAGGGTATATGGCTCGTAATCAGCGGGAGCCATAGGCAAGTCTTTCAAGCTCTACATGCAAAGGTGTTTAGGTCTCCCAGAAGAAGGGGTACATACGGTTGATACCCTCCACAGGAACAAAATCATGGCACGAGGGAAGTTTGCTATCCCGACATTGCTTGGGATACCTTTATCCCAGGAGATCTTCTCCCCCTGTGGAACATCCTTCTCAATTGGGATGTCAATAAGGGCGCAGCTGGACAGCTTGATGACACTACTGAAAAGTCACTGCTCCCACTTATAGCATTTCTGCATGGTGCCGCCCTCCCCTTTCGGCCAATCAAATTGGTTGAAGTCCTCGCTGATGTAGAGCTCTTGCAGGTATTTCGCTGCATTCCTGCACAAACTGGGCGCTTCACTGTCGCTAGTATTGCCGGCAACGCATTCATCCCTAGTATAGTTGAAGAGTTTGTTCCTGGCCACAAAGATGCTGTTCTGCAGTACAGTGGCGCTTGCTCTTTGGATTCTCTTGTTAAGACGTACGCTGAACTCCTTGAGTTCGTCGAGAGCAGCGTAACAGCAGAAACAGCAGCCCGAAAGCTCACTAACAGGCACCGCTCCCAGTACAGCTTCTTGATCCCGCGTTTTGGCACTCGCTCCACCAGCTATCTGCTGTGAGACCTGAAATCAGTCCGTGCACTGAGCCATCATGTTAAAAAATTACTGTGCAAAGGTTGTGCTACGTTTGCCATTATGCAATAGACTCTCGCTCGAAAACGTGACAGACATGCCCTATCGCTGCGGAGTGTTGCAAAGGACGCTCGCAAAACCGTGCACGAGTTTATCTTAAAAAATTGGCCTTCGCACATTATGGACCCCAGGGTCTCTGGATTCCCGGGCCATTTTTTGTTGATAAGAAGGGAATGGATGCTTGCACAAACTCGCACCTGTTCAACATCAAAAAATTTGACAAATCAGAATCAAGACTGGTGCTGAGTTCTCGGTTACTGTCACGGAGACAAAGTTTCAACATGATGAGTTGCTGCCATCCGCGACCATCAACTAGTCGAGGTTTCCGGCTACCCCTAATGCAACAGCAAAATGTGCGCAAGCAAGCATACGAGCTGACAGGGACTTCGACCCTACAATGTGTCACACCAAGAGATTCTCGAACGAGACTTGTAGCAGACACTGCCAATTTGAATCTGTCAAAGGCAACATGACAAAACCAACACAGTCACTTCCCAATCTTGCAACATACTTCAATGAATCAAAGCAATTCGTCTGCTGGTCGTGATTCTCAACCAGCACAAGCCATGAGATACAGAGAATCCATTCACTGGGCATCTTGGCCTAAGCACCTGGCTTATTCAAAACTTTAGTATGCCGATTGCCCCCAGCCTACACTCCGCTTCACTTGTGTCATGTTGTGAACAACTTCTGCCCATCAAAGCGTCCTCCACTGCTCCCTTCCACACTTCTCCAAGAGTTGCCGTCGGTGTAAGTAACGGGCCTGCAGGTTGCAGGGGCTTTTCGAGGGCGCAGCACCTGAATGCACGTTCACGAGCTCAGGTGTCAAGGAGACACAGCAAAGCCCTCTGTGAGGACGTGGGCGAGAGAAGTCCGTGCGGGCGTACTGCCGAAGGTTTTCCTTAAGAGTTCTGTAGGAGGTCGGACGGCAATTCTGCTGTTCCGAAGGTTGTTAATTATTGGGGCAAGCTTTGGTGCGCTACTCTTCTTGGAGTGTAGATTCTATGTTACAAGGACTTTCCTCTTCGATTCGCCTTCTTTTGAACAAGATTGATCTTTCTCATCACAATGATGAAGGTGCAGCACTTGGGCAATTCTATTCATGGAAATGTGTAAACAGCTATGGCAACACTGGGGTATGCAATGGAGCTTTCCACAGATGTTGATACAGTTCTTGCTTCGCATCCCTCTGTTGTTGAGGGTCAAGCATTTGCGGCCTACGTCTTAAGGGTGGGTACCTTTCAGGCTGAGGATGGGCTGCTATCCGCCCCGACATGAACATTGCGCTCATTGACTCGACGCCAAGCAAAGCCAACACGGCAGCTTACGCAGACTCACGCCCGTAGCTGAATGGCTAGGGCAGAAGCTGAATGGCTAGGGCAGAGCAGAAGCTCTGAGCCAAGCGGCGACCCGCAGTTGCTCCGTATCCGAGCACCGGGCGTCTTATCCCCATAATGCAAGGCGGACGTGCGGAGCACATCGGAGGATGGGCCCCACCCCCTTTGACAAAGGGGGGCTTAAGCCCCCCTTGAAGCCCCCCTTTAAGCCGCTTTAAAGCCCCCTTTAAAGGGGTCTCCCCTAAGGGGGGGGGGGGGTGAGCCGATACACCCCTTTAGGATTACTCCTGTGGGAGTGTATGACCAGTTTGAGTCCCGTGGGATCTAAGGCAACGCCCAGCACACGGACAGCGATTGTTTTGTTCTGCTACGCAGAGAGAGCTTGTTGTCAAGTCGGTAAAACCACTTGAGCCAGCGAGCAGCGGACATGTATACATGTGAGCATGCAGCCAAGCCATTGCTGTACGTACCACCCCTTTAGAGGTTTAGGCAAACAAACAGACACTAATTTCTTTTACTGAAAGCATGGCCGCGTGTTCACACATATACACTTGAAAGTGCTCACTGAACTCAAGACTAGCGGAGTATGGACTCATTGTAAAGGATGATATCTTAGATATTCCATAAGTTGCGAAAAGTTCACACTCACTCACTTTTGAGTCTGCAAACATGAATCTTGTCATAGAGAGATCTTCTGTACACGATCAGGTCTGTGACTGCTACTTCCACTTCGAATTATGCAACGGCTCACTGGACTCTTGTTAGAGTGTTGGCCTTCTTTTCTTGCTGC